TTGTGACTTTTTACTGGCCGAGTATTGATCTATTTAAACTACTTTTCCCATTAAAGAGATGATCAAATGCTTGTGCCAGAGATGTTGATGCAGATGCAGAACTATGACTGATGCCTTTTGCCTCCTGGAAGCAAGGCTTTTCTTTACAGGAGTATTAACATCAGTGCAATTGCATGTACTTCATTTATTTTGGGTTCAGGCTTCTCTGTAAAAGAAGTAGGAATGACCTGAAAAGTAGGGGGAAAAATCCTTTCCACTCCAGCCCTCCCCCAGGTCTTTTTGTGGGAAACACAACTGTGTTTTGAATGCTAAAATTCACAGAGATTTAGAAATACTTATCTTCAAGGAATGTTGCCATGGAAACACTTATCTCCTCTCCTTCCCCACCCTCCATATGTGAGGAGCATTTTCTTAGTCTTTTTTCTCCTGTACGGTAGTTCCTCTTTCCCGTCTGCTACCGACAAAAACTTGGCATTGAATCCTAAGAGATGTCAAACAGGCCTTTTGTTTAGTTGAAAAGTGACTGCTAAAAAACGGTCTTGAGCTCAACTAGCTCAACATACTCTGAGGCTTCAGAGAAAGATGCCTGGAATATTTTCCAGCAATTCCTGCTTCAGACAAGTGGAAAGAAGCAGCAAGAGCTGCCATGGTAATTATAAGAGTTCCACTTCCTGGTGGCGTAACCCACAAGTGATGAAGATTTTCCTTCTCATTAGAAGCCTTTTTTCCCCTTCCCTGTCACTCTTGATGAAGGGGGTAGAGAAGTAGGTGAAGTCCTGTATGCTCAAAGTGCTTTAATGAAGGTACTACTCTACCCCATTCCTTTTGCTCCAAAGCTCCAAGAAGATCAGTAAGGAAGCCAATAAACAGTAGACTTCACTCTGCTGATCAGGATATATCTATATTCAAGAGTCAACATCAGGGACCCCCTTCTGTAGCATTAACAGAAACCTTGGGAGCGTCATACATGGCTCTATTGAAGGGTGAGACTCTACAGAGATCTCCTGATGTCAGTGAGAACATGTACGCAGTACTGAGGCAGAAAGAGTGAGAACACAATGCTACATACCTGTGAGTTAAGCAATACCAAAATGTTTACAAACTATGCAAGTGAGACAGTTTTCTCAGTTTGGATTCCCAGCAGCCGCAGGTTCATATAGCTGCACAGCTAATGGTCAAACTGGCACGAGAGCTGCCCAAGGTATTTTAAATCGGAAAATGTCTGCTCTGCCCAACAACCAACATTTGCTTTTGCAGCAAGTAGGGCAGAAGTTGCCAAGACCATCCTTTCCATTTAACAGTGGAAAATAAAACACAGAGCCCTCAACTCTGTGCTGCATGCCACAGCCGTTACCACCAAGTCCTTAAACTGCTGGGAACAGAAGGATATTACTCATTTGCAATAATGACTCTATATGCAGCCCAGGTTAATTAAAATCTAGAGGTAACACCATTCATGGATATTTTGGAGGTAGTGGGAGGACAGCTCAATAAGCTGTCTGCTCTGCTCAAAGTTATGTTAACAACTGTCTCACCAGTTGCCACCAGTACAAGGGGCAAAAGTATAAGACTTTGTCTGCCAGAAACAGCCATGACAATCAATTAGCAATGGCCTGACTGCTCCCGGTACCTGTGCTGGCTGCCTGCTTCTGAGAGCAGCAGGTTGCAGAGACACAGAGATAGATTTAGCCTCTTACATCCATGAGTTTGTAGCCCTCTGTAGAAGTTTGTTCTAAAGTAAGAGTCCAAGAAATTAAATGACAGCTTTTCTGTATGCTTTTCAAAACCATCCTGTGGAATTTGTGAAGCAGCTTTCCCGTGTAGAAGCATAAAAAGCAGTAATTCCCTATATTATAGAGGCAACTTTCCCTTCTTGGCTTTGTTTCTAGACTAAGGCTTTTTTTTTCCCCACAGGTTGCAATGCTTGCATGCATCCCCATGTTACAGCCAGAGAAGATCTCTCGACCTTAGATCTATCCTTAGTGTGGGCAGCAGGACTGACAAAACCCTATTCTCTGTTGACTGGACTCCTGAGACTGGCTATCTGCTACAGTGCAGGTGCTAACTCAGGCTTTTCCCCATGTTGGCATCTAACAATGTTTTGGCTTTGGCTCCAATCTTGTGACACATCTAGCACAGACTCCCTATCCCACCCCCCCCCCCCCCAGATTTGCAGGAACATACCAGTGTTGAGTTTTCAAACCCTGATCCCTGTCAAATGCAGCTGATTTGACCCAAGGGCTCAGAAGTTACTTCTCGTGAGAAGAGAAAGGGGAAAATGGCCAAATGTAACTGGGGAGGGGGGCGCACTCTATGAACACAAGACCAGGCCAAAGAAGAACCAGTTGACAGTGCGTGCCAGGCAAGAGTTGAAGGGAGAAATGAGACAAAACTGGTATTTCAAGCTTCCAGTCAAAATAGATTAAAACTTCTCAAGAAAGCTCTGATCCATGAACATTCCCATACAAAAAAGGGGGTTTGCTGCACAAGAAAAGGATCCACAGCTGCGTGATGCGTGTTGCACTGAAACTTGATAGTTAGGCTGTTTGAAATGCTGACACAGAGAGTGAGGAATGGAAAATTACAGACTTCAGCAAACGTGGTTGTGACCTCAGTGTCACTCCAAGCAGTGTGTAACAAATGCTTGAGAGCACCTTACGCCCCTCCTTTCCCTCCATGCTCAACACATTTCCTTAACTGATGAGTCAGGATTGTTTTTTGACAGCAATTTTGAGGAAACACAAACTCAAAGAATTGATGTTCTTCAATACTTTGGGCCACATTCTTCTCTCATATCAGTTACGGACTCCTTTAGCACACTTGGTTACTGGCCTCGACTGAGAGCACAGTCTTATAGGATGTGATACATCTACAGGCTCATAGAAAATTCATAACAAATTATGTGGAATTACTATCATTTTTGACTCCTGTAACTGGGGAAGGGCTGCTGCAAGGCTGTTGTCCCATACAGCTCCAGCAAGGCAGAGAAATGCTTTAACAGACGTGCAGGTTACACCACTTTGGAAGCTTTTCTGGTGTCCGGAAGCTTCACTACTACAAGACAACTACAAGAAAGTAGATCTTCCCTGCTCAATTATATGACAGTCAGCCATTCCTTGTCCAGTTCCTAACAGGGACAGTGCTGTCCTACTATTTCTTCCCCCAAGAAGGCAATAATTTAGCCTCCATTTTGCCTTTTCTGCACACCAGGGATGCTTTAAAGTAAAATCCTTTACTGCACTGATTTCTCCAGAAGGTTTAGGAAACACCTGCAACCGTCAAGAAAGACAGGCCTTTTTGCATAAGCAGCGAAGCAAAACCTAACAAGAATTGCCATCTGGGGACATGACCAACCTTCAGTTAAATGGAGGTCAGATTAGCAAGAGCTTTCTTGCAGTTCATTACAAAAATCAATGCAAGAGAGGCAACAAGCCGAGCAGCACAAGCCTCCTTTTTCTGCCCAGCAGACAAAAACCAGTACAACAGCATCTCTGTCTCACCTCTCCCCCAACATGAATTGCACTGGGGGTGATCTGAATCTCTACAGCCTCACGAAAAGCAGAGCTGACACATAAAACCTAAGAGCAGAATTTTCTTTGTCTGGTGCCCAGAGAGGCTCTCATCAGATGTTAACCCTGTAAGAGCTGGGATTCAGGCTGGCACTCGGTAGCAATACAAGATCCAAAATATTCTTATACGAGCAGCAGATTTCCTGATTTGGAAGGTGCCAGTGAAAGGAACAATGTCTGCAGAAATGTGAATTGCAGCTACCAGGGATGTGTCCCTATGTAAAGAAAGTAGCTCTGATGGGAGCCACACACTCCTGGCGTGCTCTGAGGTGCATCGGTAGCCATGTACAAAAGCAGCTCGGGCATACACAGCTGTAGGCTGAGCAACACCTCACCTACCACCATACAGCTTCTGGATGGGAAAGGGGCTAGGAACTGGAGCTAACAGAGAAGTCAGGTTTATCAGTAAAAGACTTAAAAGATAAGGTAAAGAATGATCCTATGTAAGGGGGGGGGGGGAATAAAAAAAAAGGATGAACACAACCTCAAAAGGAAGTCAGATGGCAATTACTCCAATGAAATTATGTAAGAGGTTCCTGCCTTGCAAGCTATTCAGTGGGGCTCTGAAAATTCTTTCAGAAGCTGCCTTATGATGGCCAAAAGAGAAAGAAAGAAGCAGAGAAAAGCATGTGAATATGTAGCATGCAATGCTGCTTTGGCTGGCACCCATCTTGGAGGAGGAAAAGGATTCTTTGAAAGGCTTTTAAGTTATTAAGTACAACATTAATCCCTATAAAAGAGCCCTATAAAATCAGCACTCCCTTTCCAGTACTTGCATGCCCAGTCTCATGCTGACCCAGTGCTGAATGAATTGCAAGCATCTGTCAATCTCTGATGCTGATTAGATTAGACACTGCCCTCAGAACTGTCAGGATAGAGAATCACTTTTTCAGGGCTTTGTTCTGTGGTTTTATTTCATTTCATTATATTATTACTGATGCTTCTGTTTTCTCAGGTGCCAAACAAATTTTATTTCTCTTGGTTTACTAGCACTTCTCAGTCATCCTTTCTCTTGCAACCCCACAGCATGGCAAAATTACACAGCAAGAGAACCAGTGGTGCAATTCCCACCCCACTTTATTTCTCTCTTTCTCTCTCTCACACACACTCACACATACTTCTCACAAGATGTATCTGCTCTTCTTGACAGTTATAGCTATAGCTCAAGGGAAGGAAAGACACTTTGAATAAAAATACCTATATATAGAGAAAGGCTTTGTCCTTGTGTCTCCAAGGTCTTATCTAGCTAGGATCCATGAAGAGTGCCTCTCTTATCCAGCTCTGGCTGCTGTTGGAAAGGAGCTGGATTAACCAGAGGTCTGGTCTTTGACTAGCTGGCACACAGCAGCTCATACATACAACACTGCAAGGTTTTGTTGCTTCCTTCACAATGGTTTGGCCAGAGATCCAAAAGCAAATGTAAAAAAGGCATGCAGATTAAATCGACTTTAATATGACTACTAGTTGAGTTAGAAAAAGTACCCAAGAGAGCTATGTGGTTAAGAACATGGAAGGTAACAAAATCTGAATGTAAAATTCCCTGGCTGAGTCAGTGTAGCACCAGCATGATTCCTCCTAAGATCCTTGCTCAGAACTTCACTGCTGGCACAAAACAAGCCCTTCATTTTGCTGGCTTTTAGCTTCTCTTAGACACTGTTATCCAGGCTTCCTCCTTTGGTGAAGTTACCAACTCATATTTGGTCTCCATGACTTGTCCTTTCACTGGGTGGAGATACAGTTTCCTTACCAGGACACTCAGCAGAACTGTAGCCACCATATATGCAAACCTGAGGGAAGAGAAAAGAATAAAAACCCTGCTATGATATAAATCTGCCAAAGGCCAACTGCCAGCTTGGACAGATTGTCTCAGCAGTAACAGGAGGAGGCTGAAAGCACCTTCTTGCCCGTCTGCCACAGAGACACACAAAGACCTCTTCCCCGATGCTCACCTCAACTCCGGGCACTCCTGGCTTCCTGAAAAACCCAACAAGGAAAGGTTTTTCACAGCCAATTCTTCATTGAATCTCTCTGGGTCAAACCTATGAAAGACAAAATACCCTGAGGCTTCCTGTGTGGGCACAGCATCCTTTCACATGTGCACATACATGAGTGAAAAACTGTCAACAAAATACAGAATCTCACTAATCTTCTCTCTCTAAATCATGCTGAGTAATTCCACACAGATACATGAAGGCAATTATGCATCCACTCTATCTATGATCCCAGCTGGTCAGCTGTGTCCCAGCTTGGTCAAAATGCTGATAAACTGAGTTAGTGAGAGACAGGGCTGGAACTAATATGCAATACCTCTCAGCAGTGGGTATTTAGCTTGAGTACACAGCTGAGCTGATGCTGCTACCTGCCCTCTATTCCCCTCTAGGGCACGCACAATCTGATTTGTCTCCCTCTCTCTGCTCCCCTGTGTCCCTTCCTCTCTTACTTCCAAAAATATTTCCCTTTTCTCCTTGCCCCTCACCCTTCTCTTCAAGCAGTTGGTGTGTGTTAAGTGTATGTGTATGTGCTGGGGGAGGGAAGCTGGTGACTCATTCAAGTGAGAAAAGTGGTTTCCAGCATTAGGACAGTGGAGGCTGTGAGAAACCTATTATCCAGGGTAGGCATGAGTTAAAACAAGATTCTTATAATCAACTAACCACAAGGATATTAATGTAATATAATTCAATTTAAATATATAAAAAACGAAGCCCACAAACAGGAAAAGTGATGGATGGAAGGCAATTCTCTCTCACTTTCTGCTAAACATTTGTGTGTATACTTCAAGCCTTTGACTCCCTGCCTAAACATCCAAGGTCTGCTTCTACCAAGGTGAAGGGACATGTGGCTGCTGACCCTCAGTAAAAGCAGCATCAAACTTACATTCCCCCTGAACTGAAGTGGCAAATTACAGATGTTGTAATAGGAAAGAAAATGTGGCTGTTTAGCAAAAAAACAGGGAGAGCAAACAGCCATGCACAGTGGTTTTGTACAGTAGGCAGGTGACAGGTTCACAAAGAGTGGATCTCCCATCTTCATCACAGAAATGCACATCTACCTCAGGCTACACCTCAACCTCCTTCTCCTTGGGATGAACACACTGTGTTCATAGCAGTCCTCACTGTCCCTCTCACGAGGCCTCAGCAAATGCTTCCTAAACACAGTGTGTGTCCTATCCTAGTGGGCAATCCCAGACAAGATGCTCGTAGATCAGTGGACCAATGCCTGACCCTTTTGTAAGAGCTACACTTTCGGGAGAAGACAAGTGCTGTTCTAAAAGCTCTATCCTTTCTCCTAAATCTCAGCTGTGTGTTCTTTCTGTCTGGAATAACTGACCCATTTTTCCCCACCCAAGCAAAGTAAGTCAGAAACATGTTAATATTTGCCACCTGGAGGTCACAGGAAGCTACAGCAATTTTTTTCTTTAACCTTCAAAATACTGGCCTGGATCCAGTTTTGTTTTCACAGACAGAAGTAGCATTTCCCTTCCCCCTGAAAAAACAAAACTTCACACTGCCATTTCCTCCCTTGCATCATTGTTTCCTGATGACAAGCAGTGATTCCAAAGCCATTCAAATCACTGTTTCTCTTTCACAGAAAAACTTAAAAGATCATGACTTGAATTACCCCAAAATCCCACCCATTGAGACAATCAAACCAAGACCTTCATAAATAGATTTTCTTAGAGACTCCCTTTCATCTCCAAAATCTGCTTAAGGCAGGCCCTGCAGCCAAACAGAATATTAATTAAAAAAAGGAATGGAATTAGTTGCAATAAAAGTCTTGATTCTACATACTCGTATGGTGATGGCCATGATGAACTATCCTGCAGCATCACACCAAGAGCATAAAGCACAAGAGTCTGCAATTAAAATTAGGAGATATATGTCAAAGCGGAAAGAAATGCACAATTAAAACCACTTTTGGACAGCCCTGCTGGATGATGATTATTCTGCAGACTACTCATATTTATTAAGTGGATTAAAAAGATAATACGTTATATCAATCTACAGATCTCCATAATTCATGCCCAGATGTCAGGATTTTAACTGCTAAGGCCCATGCTGCAACTGTTGGTGGTTAGAGAGGGTCTGATCCCATTCCTCTACTCTTGCTGGCTTGCAGGCATGGACTACTTTATTCTCTGTAATGGTAGGTACCATTCTGTGTAGGAAATGAGTGATATGATCAGGCCTGAAATCATGCTCTTTTGCGCACAACTGAACCCATAAGCCCCTTCAAAAGATGATTCACCCCTGGTGGACCCAGAACTGGAAGCAGATGTACTCAGCAAGAGAACATTAATTCCCAGAGCCTCTCCCACAGAGGAACTGCAAGGAAAACTTCAAGCTAAATTGTACTTTCAGGTGACAGAGAAGCTGCTCAGGATCAGCAGTGTCAGAAGAAACCTCTGCCTGCCTCTCCTGTCTGTGGGAAGAGGAGGAAACAGCAAATTGCCTTCCAGGAAAGAAGAGCGGGCCAGGGCTCCCAGTACTGCCCTACCTCTTTAGGGATTGTATGTTGGTCGACTCTGCCCTCCAGCTCCTGCAGCTGTGCAGCAATGGGCGTAAGCTTTGCTGTTCGCACTGTCTCACACAGGACTTGTTGACAGTATCTGCAACGAGTAAGACCTGGTTAGTTTAACCCTCCCAGAAGGAAGCTTGTCCACATCCTTGTGGCAGCAAGGAGAGCTGAGCCACCTGCTGCATTTAGGGTCACAGTCTGCTCCTGGAGATGTCTCAAGGATGCCTCACGCTGAGGTACTTAATTTTTTTACGGCAAGGAGTCCCAGCATCTTTGTAAGAAGCATTAAATCTCACTATCAGCTTTTAGGGAAGGTTACTGAAATCTGTTTTAACCCTATTTTTTTCAGATTTTAAACCAAACTAACTCTGGTAAAAAGTATAATCACATCAGCCTTTTTCCTGGACCTCTTCACCCATACAAGCAGCAGCAAGAAACTCACATACTCACTGCTCCCTTACTGAAACTGTAACACTAGTCCACATACAAAATGCACCAGTTGCACCAACAGATGCATGAAAAATAAAGCACACTGTTGACCAGTGATCATTCTATTTTCATACTTTTGGAAAACTAGGACAGAAACCAAACAAGACAGTAAACAAAGAATTTTTGGCCTGGCAGCCAGAGGACTGATTCTGTGCTCTTCTGCTGATTAATCTAAAGGATTTCCTATAGACACCCTGAAGAGAGCAGCTTGGTCCCCATGTCTGAAGCCCTACTGCAGATTCTCTTTGCACTGCAAGTCATCCTGTGGTTTAATCACTTCTTGAAAAAAGAAGAGAGTAACTTTTAATGCCTTCTCCTGGCCTGGCATAGGCTAGGCATCAGGCTCCAGCACATGAAGCCCCTGTCCCCACCACATGAGATAGATTTCCTCTGCAGCTTCTTCCATGTGACCCACCTGAGCTGCTCAATTTTCTCATGCGTAATTGGTCCCTTCCCCAGAACACGATCCATCTCCTTGTAGAGATTCTGCTGAACATCTTCTGAGGTTGTCAGGAAATAGACTGCCCAGGTGCACACTGGGGAAGAAATCAAGACAAGACTGGACCCCAAAAATTCAATCCTTTACAAACTGCATTCATTTTTCTTACTTCCTGTATTTGCAACATTATTTTTTGACCCAGAAAAAGGGTGACCCCTGTTCACAGCAGGCTGTACTAATTCTGTATTCAGTGGCAGTAGAGGCTGAACTGCTGTATAACAAGAGACACTGCAAGATAAAATTCTCTTTTCAATACTATGAAGAGCTTTGGAAGCTCTGCAGGAGACTAAGCCATTCAGCTTCACAGCTCCAGGGAAGGGACTACACAGCCCAGCAGACCCTGGGGAACCAGCATTATTAGACGCAAATGAAAGGCTGGTTTGTCCAAAGCATCAGAAAATTCCCTTATCTGGGGGGCTTCCCCAGCACATCTCAGGTGAATGCTCCAGTCAACATCTGGGGCTCCTGACAGGGAGTGACAAGAACAGTACAGCTCTCTGCAGCAGGTTGGCCAGCACTTGTCTCTCCTACATCTATTTTGTGAGATACTCAAAAGATATCATCAATAGTGGAGCGAAAAAGAAACTTTGTGCAAGAAATAAGTATGTAGCATGCAGTTTCCCTAAAACTACAAGAAAATATTTCTGTCACTCCAAACTGTCTATTCTTGAGAACTATCCAGAATCCCTGAGGAGTCAAGCCCCTTAAAATGACAGTCTTCCTGGAGTACTTGGAGAGGATATTCTCTGAGGAAACTATTATTTCCTCATTCTTTAACACCCAGCTGCACCTGGGAGGTTTTCTCTGGAGTCCCAGCCCTGTTGGCTGAGATACACAGCCTGATAATCATCCCGCTTTTATAAGAGATTTTACACATCTCCAGTTTGTGTTTTTATTTGAGTTTGGTTTTTTTTCCATAATCTTTGCACAAATCCCAAAGTAGCTCCTTTGAAAGTCTTCCATACATGAAACACATCAATACTGCAGAAATTCAAAGCAGCCAGTCAGATTCCAGCACTCTGCTCTGATTTCCTTCCCATGTGCCAGAACCTATTTTATAACATGATCTTTATGGCTTACATCTTTTGGTGCTTTTTTATCAAATTTAGTATCAGTTGGGTGGAGTTAAGAGTGTAAGTGAAAAGCAATGGGAAGAAATTCTAAGGTTCACCAAAAGACTGGAAAGGTTGTCAAACACAGCTTAGTTTCAACTCAGGAGAAACAAAATGATGAATATAAATTTTTATTAGCCTAGAGTAAGTCTCATGTCATCACACACAGTTTTAGACAGCTGAGTGTAAGGATGGAAAGTTACCTACTATCTATACTTACAGTTAGCAGTGATTATGCATCCTGCCAAGGAGAAAATCATTGTATCTTCCAGAATCTAGGAAATAAAATCTACTTCAGAGAATGAAGTTCATAAGAGTGTAGAGATAAAAAAGAAGTGGCACATTCTCCAGTCAAGTGCATGAAATCCTTTTAGTGCAGAGACCAGAAATACATCTAGAAGAGATAGACTGAACTCTCTACAGAACTTCCAGTGGAATGAGACATGCTTAATACTAACACACTTTCGGTTTGTAAAAATAGCAACAAAGCAATGGCAAGGAAAGCTACCAAAGTCTACTGCAATTAAATATTGTAGGAATGGAAAAAGAACTCTGCTTTAGTAAGGAATCTGACCTAATATGCAAAACCTTAAATTAATCAAAGGCTACAATGTAATGAGCTTGTTCATTACTGTGTAATGACATAACAGCTGCACAGACCTGCTGGTCACTCAGGTTCCCCTGCAGCAAGGTGTCTATAAAGACGTGCCTGTTGAATGATCTGCCTCGGCGCTCCTTTGTAACTTTCCTTAAGGTGGATTCCATCTCCATCAGAGCTTTGGAAGCAAAAATAAATGTTTATTTTAAAACCTAATCATCCTGTGTGCTGCAGAGAAGCAAATCCATCTCCTCAAACAGATTTTCAGACCAGCTGTCCCTGCTGGGCTCACTTACAGAAGCAGTTACATGTTACTGTCAATTTGGAAGGCAGTATCTCCAATTTAGTTGAAAATGTAGGAACTAAGTAAGACAAGGTGCCCATATAACGCCACCCTTACAGGTATAACTGAGACATACTCTATGAGCTGAAATCACATAAGGCAAAGTCAAATAACACCTAGTGTTGAACCATCAGAGAACTTGTTTAGTCAGCCCCCCATAAAAAATGTTTGAGCCAGATAACAGTAGTTGCATGGCCTGTAGAGTTATAATTACTAAAGCGTTACAGCACCTCCAGCCACTGATGGTCTCCCATTTGCTACGGGTTCTACAGGCATGGTGCAAGAGGATGGCTCTATGCTAAAGAGTCTGCATAGACAGAAAGAGGGAGGTGAGGAAAACATGGGAGGGTTTTGTCACAAGAAGTCCACACATCTGAGTGCCTAACTTCTGATGCATAATTATCTAGGTGCCTGCTATCTGGGTGCCTAACTTTTGGTGGCTGTTGTGGGAACTGGGGGAAGTTGGGAACCTAGATGCCACTGGCTGTCTGACTTAAATTACCTTCTCAAGACTATCCAGAAAACACGGTGCAGAAGTTGAATCTGAAACTTGATTTACAAAGGCCCAATTCAGCACCTTCATCTTAGAACTACCCTTCCTTCCTCCTCTCCACATAGGAAGGCCAGCAACACTTAAACAGAAGCCCTCACTCTCTGGAGTTAGTGAAAATGTGTCCTAATGCACCATCCTACTACAACTCAGGAACAGTCTTGAACAAGAGCCCATGGGAGAAGTCCATCAGGTTCTGAAATTCACAGAACAAGCTACATAAAGAAGGAAACACTGGGTTTGAAGGATTTATGAGCAAATCCTCAGTTCTGGATAAAAGCTACTTTTGTTTAACATCTTATCAATCAATACTGAAAGGCTTTAACTACTAAAACCCAAAAAAACCAGGACAATAAAAAAATAAAATAACTGTGAAATATATAAGAAATAGACGCACTTCCATAACAGACCTGAAAATCATGTTACCTTGTAATAGCACATCGAAGGCTACCACATGGGAGGTATCCATCAAAGTAGCACTTCTGTATTTGTGTCTTCTAGTTTGTGAGTGACTGTCTGGCAGTGCATTCACCAAATGGTGCATCACAGGAATGACCATACAGGCCAAACCAAGTAGCTCCATCTGTCTCCACCTAGCACAGTTGCCTGCCTCCAAAAAAGGTCAAAAGTGGACACAAAGGATCAGAACAGGAAGGGGGCAAGCTTCCCAGGATACTTCCCAGGATCCTCTATCAGCCTCCAGGCTGGATAAACCCTAGAACTAGACCTGGAACGAGAGTTCTATTCCTACAAACTTCTTGCGCAATGGCAGGCTTGTCACTAACTCCAAAACAATGGTGTTATGTGAAAGTAAGGAGGACACATCTGGTAGCTTATGGCACGATGATCAACTCTGCAAAAAAGCCAAGACATCTGGGAAAGTTAATTGCTTTCATATGCTAGCTAACTCTGTATTAATCAGAATGGGAGGAAGACTGTGATTTTGGGGTGAACCTACCATCTCTGTAGAGCTTGTTCCTAGTCATGTTTTTGTCAAGGGATCCATCCAAGAAACCTTTCCCAATCTCTGACCAGATCTGAAAGAAGGACAGAGAGAAGAGCACCATCACTCACCACTGGCTGAGACTGCTGGGACTCTTCTGATGTCTCTTCCTATTCAGGAAAATGAAAACACCAAATAAAAGGAAGACTTCCTGTGAATATGGAACTGGTCTCTTCTTTAGGACACCATGTCCCATTTCAGATATTACATCTATGATAGCAGAAATTTAACTGAAATGACACAACTGTAATTACAGCTGTAGGGGAAAAGACATCAGAATCTTGAAAGGGAGATGAAACTGTTTCTTTCCCGCCCTATCACCAGCAGGTTTAACATTCCCAGATGTGGACACAGCTTGGGACCTCCTCAGATATTCCCTTCTCCACAATGTCACAGAGCCTTCAGAAAATCTTTGAGAAGTTCCACTGGCATTCCCAGTAGAGTTTAACTGATTTAGGTACCAAATACCTGTCAAGTACCTTTGGTTCCTGATCTCCACCGATCCTTTGGAAACACCTTAGATTAATTACAGCAGGATCAGCAGTAGGTTCTTTTCCATAGTTTCAGTGTGGGACTATTAAGACAGAGTCCCTAAGCTCTTAAGCTTAAGGTTAGCTTAATGTTCAAGTCTCTACAGTACCTCGTACTCAGCTGTACACAGACACAAGCTATGTGCTGTTGGTGTGGAAAAATATAATAGGACAATTCCCAGCTCTTCGTGACACTTACTGCATCATGGTGCCTGCGGAATCGGATGACTTCCCGGTCATCTTCAAAGCTGCTGCCCATAGCTGTCTGCGTGACAGACTTCATGGCAAAGCCCAGCATGTGCTGGCAGAGTGGCACGTGCTGTGCCTCAGGGAGGGAGAGCCATTTGGCTAGCAACTCTTCTGACAGCTTGAGAGGGAAAGAACCATTAATTGGCAGTAACATCAGCAGCCTATTTACCAAACATACCCTGGAGACATTCCCACCCAGTTCCAAGGGCAGACCACATGGTTATGGCATGAAGCTGCACTCTTT